GGCGAAGGAGTTGGAGGAGATGCGCGCACGATTGCACGATATGGAGGAGGAGAAGGCGCGTATTGCTGATGCATATGAGCGTTTGTCCCGCAGTTTCGTTTTACTTAATGGTGATGGTGATAGTATGCGTTCTTTTGATTTTCCTTTATCAATCTCATCTTCTGCTCGCGGTGATCTCACCGTTCCTTTTGGTGGTGATCTTTCTTCTCCTTTTGCTATCAGTGCACATGATTATGAAATGGCTTTAAAGGAAATAGATGAGCTTCGTCACCGTGTGTACGTTTTAGAGGATGACAAAGCTCGCAAATCTGAAGAATGTGACAGGTTAATATCCGATTTACAATTGCTGTCGCATAAGCTTCGTGATTTACAAAGTCGTGTACCTTCTCCTTCGTCGGTACCTGTTTTCCCTGTTGTGGATTTTGAGAAGGAGGATTCTATGTTATCTTCTTCATCCCCTGTGTTGATGGAATCCATTCCAATGAACGTGAATCTACATAAGAGTGCTGATAAAGAGTCTTCAATTGTACATGTTGACGAAGGCTTAATGGCTGAGAATATGTTGAGGTTAATGACGATTCAGAGTGAGTTGGATTTAGAGCGGGCGAAAGTTGGAAAGCTTGAAGAAAGGCTGGCTATTATGGAAGCAGAAAAAAAGGCGTACTTGCGGAATTACGACGAAGTCAACGACGAACTAAAAAGTAGGAGAAGTGAGCAGAGGTCTTTGGAAGCGAAACTGCAGCAAATGACTGGCGTCAAATCGCGAGAAGCAGAAGTTGCGGCTATGGAGATTGATGCATTGCGTCACCGTGTATATGACTTAGAGGACGAAATTGCACGTAAGTCCGAGGAATGCGATAGGTTGTTGAACGAATTAGGATTGTTAACGCATGAAGCAAAAATGAATACGTCACGTAAGTCTCCAACATTGACTGTATGGCCCCATTCACAAGGTGCACTGTTGGATGATTTGAGAGAGAAAACCGACGAAATGGAGAGTGATACGGCACATGAAGGAGAGGTGGCGGCGAAGGAGTTGGAGGAGATGTGCGCACGATTGCACGATATGGAGGAGGAGAAGGCGCGTAATGTGGAGGAATGTGGACGGTTG